GCGCCGTGTGGCATTGCGCTCACGCGCTTCCTATTAAGGTCGGCCGCGCGCGCAAACGTATTCCCCTGTGTGGGCGTAGCGCAGCGGCGATTCTCGTTTCTCTCCGTTATCAGATATAATATTCATGCGTGTGTCCACGGCTTATATCGATTGGCTCCGGTAATCGATTGTTCGCCTTGTCTCGTCGTCGGTGGCTAGCGTCCGCGCGATCGACGCCCCCGCGCGCGCATTCCAATTGCGATCGCGGGAGAAAGTTCGCTTGTCGGCTGTGCGACCCCGACGTAAATAGCCGAATATTATGGAGTCCGGATCAATTGTTATCGCGCGCTTGGGTGTCGCATACGAAGAAAGTAGCTCGCCTAGGTGCTGTCTTTTTCTTCGAGAGCTGTAGGCAAACATTCGTGTGTAGCGTGGGTCGGTCGATTTTTCTTGAATTTCCAAGTGCTGCGCGCGCAATGTAAAGCTAATAGCTTATCCTATTTTAAATTATATTATTTATAAAGTTTTATGTTATATTATTTATAAAGCTAATATTTAATCCGTCTCGCAATGTTTTCATCGTGCTGGCGTGCTCTGGAACATCGGTTCATCGATATAAGAACGACGGAGACTCGCTGATAATAATAACTCGTCAATTCGCGCAATTAACAATGAGTTCGGTCACTTCGCGCAATGTGCTTTTGGATACGTTTATAAAAAGTCCGCGATACCATTATTTCCTTTTCACGCTGACGCGTAAAATTGACTCGCACGGCGTGCGCGCGAAAAAAAAGCGAAGCCATTGTGATAGCATCTAAGTGAACTTGCGCTCGTCCCATCGCGATGAAAATAAGTAACAGCCTCGTGCTGAGACTCCGATGCAAAACTGAGAGTCGCGCGCGCTACTAAATTCGCGGCGCGAAAGAACGCGATAGCGAATGCCACAGCGAAAGTCGATCGAGCGATACGAGGGCAGTGGATGCCGAACCAAGAGGAAAGGATCACCATCACTTACGGATGCACCAAATTATGAGCGCGATTCTTATTATTTTTATTTCGTTAATTCAAACAAATTCATCGCGATTGCGTTTGCCAGAGAAATTTTCGCTACGATGACTTCATCGTCATCGGCCTTATCGTATGTGTTCCAGTTTTCTTTTTCTTTCGTGCTATTTTTTTCTTTTTTGCTTTTTATAACCAACTGTGAGTTTCGACATCCAGCTGTAATATGGGTTATGGGAGCTTACTGCGTGGGTTGCACTGACCGTTTCTAATGCTAATTTTTCGATGCTAGCTAGGCTAATTGATCGTTAAGCTATACACGTGAGAAGAAAATTATGGCTTTCTTGCGCGTGATTGGATTTTCCTAAGTTTCTTTATCGCTTCTCAGCTATGTAGTTCTTATTTTTTACTCAAAATACAAATAATAGTAGAATGAAAATTTGTACCGTTATATTAGTTTAGTTCGCAATCACAGATGGAGGAAATACACTACATGTTTATAGGACAATTTCGTATTTGTTCCTTCAAAGGTGTAGTCCGCTTTCAATTTACTATTTTCATAATGCTGAAATTACAAGGTGTGATTTGACTCTATTTTTTCGGACTGGGACTTGTACCATCGACGTAATATTTGTAAACTGTATTTGGCAGCATTAAATAATAAATAATAAAAACTATAGCTTTTAAAAAGACACGATTTTTACTCTATCTCTTTTAACAATCCACTCGCAATAAACGGCGTGCATTTCCAAAACAAAGCGAATCGCAATTACCGCTCATCAAAAAGCCATTGCTGCGCCGAGAGCAAACAGATACCAATCTACGGCTGCGGTTCCCAAAACTAAATTACCATTTCGCGCGAGCACACGCGCACTCTCGCTCTCGGCGCAATTAGTAGGGCGCAATCTCTTCATCGGGTACCTTCCACCGACGGCGACACTCGAACAAAAGCACAGCAAAAGCCACTCACGCGACAGACCGCGCGCAATCGGCAATTACCGGCCAAGTTTCCGTGCGCGCGCGACTCGTATCATTCGTGAGAACGAGATTCTTCTTCGCGCCGTTAATTAAAGGCCTCCGTCACGAAATCCAGTGCTAAGGACGCGACTTTGCACTTTAACGGCCTTCAATGCAGCCGCGCGATACGTGCGACGGTGACAGTGACCTTCATTTTCGATCGCTTTTTCCTTTGACGATTTGACCTTTCTTCTTTTGGTTGTTCGGGACTAACGGGATTCACGAGAGTGACGACGTTTCATCGAGCTTGCCGCTTCGATTGTGCCTTGCCTCTTTCCTTACGCAGCTCGAAGCGTGAACGAGTTTGAAGCTCTTACCGGCGAGCAAAAAATAATCCATCGAATCGAAATGCCGATGCGAGTCTCGCCGAAAAATGCGGGAAAACGATTAGTAACTCGGATAGGCGTGTGATTTGAGTGGTTTGCTTTCTCATCTCGAATCGAAATGAAAGTAAGCGATGTCTTATCTACCAATACGTCGCGTATACGAGTAAGCGAAACGAATGTTGGATAACGATCCGATCGCCGGAATAAAATTGTGCAGCTCAAATGTAAACTGAAACTCGTGCGCATTGCGCAAACCTGATCTTCAATTAAGTAAGTTGCATTAACGACGTTATCTCGTCGCGACGAACAATGAGGCGCCGAAATCGCGACTTCAATTCTCGCCGATACTCAGCGCCGCGAGATCACACGCGCGCCTTCGACTTTTACCTCGCGACCGTGCGCTCCAACAGGTCGCCGCCTCGACACCTCGGAATCTCGGCGGAAAACTCGCAAAGGAAAGGATATAATGTTTCCGAGCGACTGCGTTTTGAGCGCGCGAGTTTTCGCGCCGAATATGGCTCGTGTATTAGAGCTCGTCTCGCTCTCTCGCTCATCTCGTCAAATTAATGTCAATGTCAAGCAGTGGCTTTTTTTCTTTTTCTTTTTGCCGACCTGCCTCGCTGCTATTGCTTTCCATTTGCCGCGCTGCTCTCGTCTGAAAATCTCGCTCGGCGTTGCACACACGTGCGCGAGCCTCTTTTCTCGGCATTCTTCTCGCGGCGAATCACCGCGATGATCGTGCCTGCGCCCGCACCTGTCGCAAGGACATTTCCTCGCGACGTTCGTTTTTTCTTCTTCTTTTTGCTCCGATGACGTTCTCATTTATCTCAATTTCTTTGAAGTAGAGCCAGCGGGTTACGGAACGACGCGCTGTCGATTTTATCCGTTGCTACCAACACGCGGATCATTCGACGTCGCCCGCTAAATTGAAAAGTGAACTCGGAGGAAGTAAAAGCTACGCCTCGGTGAACATTTTACGATGCTCCCGAGAAAGGCCAATCAAGATACAGTTCGCTCTTACTTGGAGACGTGAAACCCTAGCGAAATCTGCCGGAGCACGAGCAGGCTGATTTTAATATTGACCATCAATTACCGTAGCCCTCTGGCGCTTGTACCGGAGTCGGAAGAAAGAGAAAAATCACTCACAAGCGCGCGCGTGGGTAAACGATTCACGGTGGGTCGCTGTCGCCGTGCGGCGAGCTTCAAAACTGCGCGCACTAAAACCAACGGTTTACGAACGGTTTCCGCGCCGTCGAGGTCAAAAGCCACATAAGCTCGCGTTTCCACTCTGTCGTCTCGAAAATGTAAGAAAAAAGACAAGAGCGCGCAGACCACGTTTGCCCGCGGTAATACTGAAGGAAATCAATGTTCGCCAGTGTCCATAAAGTCGCGTTGTTTATAAAAACCGCGAGACAGGAGCTGCCGGCGAACAGGCCAATGGTCGAAAAGCGAACTGCCGTTGAAGAAATGCAGTCCTCGCGGGTCCAATTAAAAAGGCCACGGAAAAATTCATCGGAGCGAGAAGCTGCGAGCGCGAGGAAAGGAGGAGTCCGGAGGGAAAGAGATACAAGCGGAATTGTGGACATAGCGGGGGGATGGGTTGTGGCAGATAAAAGGGAGCCCGCGAGGCTTTGCGCGTAGGCGAGACCGGGTAATTATGTCGTGTTTTAGAGCGCGCAAAGATGTTTTACTTAGGCGCGCGTGGGCTATGCGCCTGCGATAATGAAACGCTCGTTCGCCGTAATATCTCAGCGCGTCTCAAGGTTCATTTCTCACTCTCTCTCTCTCTCTCTCTTTCTCTCTCGTACTGCCTCACCATTTATACGTATCTTTTGTCTGCCTATTAACGAGAAGTCACTTTCTTCAAATAGATTATTCTGCGATAGACGGATGGTTTGAAGAACTTTGTACGAGATAGAAGCATACGGTATCAGTGTTAAAAGGCACCTAAAGATCATTCGACAAAACACAAAAATCGAATACCGATCTATTGTTAATCGACTCAAAGTTGTTGCGATGATCCTTAGGACGCAGATCAGATTTCGATATTGCAGCACGCCGCGAGAGAAATTTTCAAAACTTGCCTGCAAAAGTTTCCGAGTAAATTAAAGAGGCTATCGGCGCGATCGACCTAAAATAAAGAAAGAAAGAAAAAAAAAGATCAACGGCAACGGACAATAAAAGCATAGCACCGTAAACTTATATACGCGGCCTCATCGGGAATGGTACACAATCGCGGTTCAGCTTACAAAGAGCGCCACGAGAGAGTGTAGCTTTAATTGCGCGCCGAAGATTTTCGCGCGTGAGCTCGAATTGATAGCGCAGCGCGGGCGGACTTTCCCACGCGCGCGAACTTCATTGTCCCGCGCAACTTGTACTCGCGCGTATACGTATGGACGGCACTGGAAACTGCGGCGCGCTTCTGAATCATTCGCGCGACGACGTCGCTCGCTCGCGCTTGCATTTTGAATTCGAGCGCGCGGCGTTGAGCTCTTTTTCCATATATATATATATATATATATATATATATATATATACAGAGTTGCGCGCAGGTGCTGGCTCATTAATTATCGGACTGTGTGCACTTTCGCCGGTGAGATCAGCAGAATCGCCGGTGGTGCGCGATGGCCGATTTATCGACGCTGGGAGAGCCGAAGCGCATATTGAGCGGTATACCTGGCAGAGGCTGAGCGCGAGGAGTGTCCCGAAGAGCAGCAGCCTCATCGTCTTCGTCTGCAGGCACATTTATCGCGAGGCGTCAGGCCTAGTAGTATTATTCATTTGAGCACTTGTGCTTTGTTCAATCTGCTTGCACGCTCTTCCCTTTTTCGTCTTGCCTTTTTTATCGGCGCACTGCAAGATATTCAAGCAGAATTTAGAATATGAGATTTGGATCTTTTAGGTGTAATACACGTTTTCTTTTATGTTTTTTTTGTTTAAGTATAAACGAGCGGCAGCTTTATTTTTCAAATTTATTGAGAAAGGTTGAAAAAAATCGGTTACAGTTCGATTTTCAAACTTGAAATAAATAAATTATTTAAAATTTAATAAAGCATTAGATCATATCGAGTTCATCGTTCTTATAATTGTTACATCTAAAAACTACTTTAATGAAGTTAATTAATTATTTTTCACACTTCATATCAGTGAACAAAGACAACTTTCAGATTAAAATACTTTAATAGTATATACTTTGAAAACTCAATAACATTCTGAACAACTGTGAAACAAAGTTTCCCGAGTTTTAAAAACAAAGTTATTAATTGAACTGCAATTTGCAGCAGTTTACTGTAACAGTGTTCATGAAAAACTTAAAATTCACAATAAACTAAAAACGTGTCGCAACGAACTACATCAAACGAACAATCGGACGCGTCGAATCCAAGTTCACAAACAACACAACAAAGTACGGGTGTCGAGTCGTTACGTCGGTGCTCACATGGTGGTAAGGCTTCGAAAAAATTGGCGCCGCGGCGCGCGCTGACTTTTCGCGGCGGAGCGGCAACAGTAGACTGTGCCGAGCGAGGAGCGACGACAACATTGCGACTGCGGTGCGCGCGAGCGGCTACGCCGCGGGTAGAGAGAGAAGAGAGCTGCGCGTGGACAACGATCCGCCGCCTCCTACGTCGAGTATAGGAGCCTCTATCTCTCAAACGCCCCGCCAACGAGCCTTCATACCTCCTTTCGCTCTCTTGCGCGCTTGGCCGAGCCTCTTGCCTGCGCGCCCAGGGAATATCTACTCGCTTCGGGTAAACTTTTTATTTTTTTTACAGGGTGAGATAAAGAGGGTTGGCATGGAATGCAGAGGTCGCTTCACCATCTTCGTATTTTTTTTTTTTTTTTTTTTTTTTTGTAGCTGATGGAAGAGTTGCTAAAATATTTGCACATCGTGTTTGCGGAATTTCCATTCGTAATTATTTGGACGTGTTAAATCGATGGCATTTGAGGAAAATCATATTCTTTTTCATTTCGTTGAGAGATACATGCACGTGCGCCAAATTAACTTGAGGAAATTATTCTGCATTTCCTACACATGGCGATGATTTCAAATATATTTTGAAAATTTACAAAAAAGGGCTTTTTACGAATTTTAATATAGTAATAGAAACTTTCAAGCCAAATAATAGTATGGTTCTAAGACATCCGAGAATGGCAACAAGTTGAGGGAAAGAAGAAGAATCAATTGTATGACACGTGAAAAATCGGAATATTGGTTGAATTTTACTCTTTACCTTTCTAAACGTCGTCAATTCAAACAGAAAGATGTAAGGAAATAATCTATATAATTATAGCACCTAATTACTTTAACAAATACTAGGTTGCTTTTCAAACTTTCTTTTGCAAAGTAACATTCATACTGCCTAATAAAATAATTAACGTAAACACTTACACAGTAATTTTAATTGGAAAAACCGTTTAACCATTTCATTCTGAAAAAAAAGTCTTGAATGCAATAAATAAATCAGCAGCAATAAAGTATTCAATTAATAAGCGATGCTAACCAATCCTCAATTAATTCAATCAAATTCATGAATAATAAAAAAGCATCCACCGTAGCAGCGATCCATTAATACGAATTTTCTAAGCGCGCGAGTACAGCCAACGAGCGTGGCATCGCGCAAGCAACTGCACACTTTCCTCCGCGCGCGGAAAGCCGCGCACCCGTACCCAAAAGAAAGTGTCGTTGACCAGGCATAGACACAGTTAGCGTGCCCGCGTACGCAAACAAAAGATTTCTACGCCTTTTCAATTTTTTTATTTCTTTTTTTTCCGCGGAGGTATATACCATCGTCACATAATAATCGTCGATACGCGAGCACGCCTTGCCACTTTCGATTTCAACGGCAGGCAAGCGAAACTGGATCGTGGCACGTGCGAGAAAGCGCGTGCGAGTCACGGCCGATACTCGCTCGGCTGTAGGGCGGGCGAACGCACAGACGCCGCGCGCGATTGTTGATCGGGTGACGACGATGGCGAAAGCGGCGCCGCGAGATCGGATCTTGCCGATATTACGGCTCGACGGATTGAAAACTTATCATTAGGCCGCAACTTTGCCGTTCGCTCGGGCCGCGAGATTGATCGGTGCTTTTATTCTTCTTTTTCTTTTTTTCACAGGCCGTACGCTTCCGGTGCTGCGAGATCCCCACGGCGAGAGTAAAATCGTGAATTGGCTTGTCAATTGGTAATCGCGATTCAATTTTTTTTTCTGCTTAATTGTCGCGGACACGAGTTGTTGGGGTAAAAGTGTCGAAAATTTTGACAAATCCACGCGGTAGCCTTCTGCATTACAAAGAAACTGAGGAACGAATTCCCTTTCGACTGGACGAAGGCTATCGCAGGTTGTTAGCATGCAGTCGTGGTGGATGCTGCAAATCGTCCGTCTCGAAAGGCAAGCAAACATTTATTCGCGCCAGATAACATTTTTTCCAACGGAGAGCACGCAAAGAGAAGTTGATCCGCCCACGTATGGACGAGACGTGGCTTTCAGCGCGTCATAGCTGGATAATTGCGCGCGCACGAAATACTTGTCTCTCCGATTGCCCAACCGACGGTAGATTTATGACGAGCTGGGCGACTCAGAGTAAGCGAGGGATGTCTCTCACGCTTTTCCTTCCGCGTGCTCCGGTCCAAATTGTTGCGGCTGTTGGCTAACCCAATGCTGCATGAAGATGACGTGGTCTCGCGAGAATTTCGCTAAAACTTGCCGTTGCGGGGCATTGTCTTTTTTTTTCTTTCCAAAGGGAGAGTGAAAAAACGCGGATGGTTTATGCAAGGGATAATTGGATTATCAAAGGACAGTTGGAAAGTGTGGTAACGCTTCGTTGTTTTTTCCCCCGCGAAGAAATGGAGTGTAAAGATAGGAAACAGCGTCGTGGAGAATCGATCGAACTTTCCACTGTCCATTTGGTAACGGTGAATGGACATTGCATAGCCAGCATCCACGTTTTATCGTGAAATAGTTGTATTAGTTAGACTTGCAAAACTGAAAGTTACTGATGCGCATTCCCTTTCGAAATATGTTGTAGAATAAAATTTAACAAAAATAGAAATGATTCGCGTAAATTTCAATGTTTCGCAGTTCGTATCACGATCTCCAAAGCCACCTTACTCCTTCCACTCGTCGATCGTCGATCGTCGATCGTCGATCAGTGTTAATCACTTCCTCGAAGCGAAAAGAAATCAGATCTACGAGTTACGATGCCTTTATCATCCGCTAAACAATGCGCAAAGCCAAATTGCCCGTTTGAAAATTAGTCATTGTTGGTGAGCGTCAACGCGCTCCTCCAATGCGAGCGCGCTCACACAGAGCGAGTCCGTTCGCCGGACAGGCGAAGCGTTGCAAAACACCTCTGCAAAAGCGTATCATTCACATCCCACCCGATAACCTCATAACTCGGCGATATCTCTCTCCAGGCGCCACGCTGCGCGCGACACTTTTCAAAACGACACAAAGACACCGTGCACGCGTAGATTGCGAAAGCTGTCGCAACGGCTCATCGCGCCCTCCCTCCCTCCCTCCCTCCCGCTCTTTCGCTTTACTTTTTTCGTCGTTGCGTAAACGCATGCATATTGTGATCGAGATCTAAAACAACGCGGCATTTTATGGGCGCTCGTTACGCAAGCGCCGACGCGCGGCTTTTTCGAAAAGCCGGACCGGCATCCAAGGTGACATCGCGTGCCAATGCATACGAATTTCGCAGGTGTACGGTCGTCACTTATTTAACACATTGTATGTAAATTGGGCGTTTTTGTCGCATCTGGGTTAATATGCCAATGTTAATAAACGATCGTTCTTTGTTTTTTTCTTTTTGTTTTTTCTTTTTGTTTTTATAGGTATACGTATTTCAATACCGCAAACGGCTAATCGTGCACTTGCAGAGGAACAAAGATTTTATTTATGGGTTATACGAACGAAGCGCAATCGATAGAAATGGATTGATTTACAAAAAAATCGATCCGACAAAGCTAATAACTTTCACTTTACTCACACATATCCAATGGCTATTCTCAGGTTATTAATTAGCTCTTTATACTAGCTAATGTATAACAAAAATAAGAAGAAAACGCAAAAGTAAACATCTAATCATATTATCTCCATTGTACTGCAGCAGTCTCATTGTTCTAATTGTTTATTCTACAACGAGTAAAAGCAATTCGCTACTTTATAGTGTGCACGTACGTACACAACGAATTAAAGTATCATTTCATCGACCAACTACCTATCGATAGTCCTCTTCGAAGAGTGAAAGTACGTAGTAACGAATGCGAGGATCCGTCGAAAAATATAGATTTGCATGTATTATTATATCAGAGGTATCTCCATCGTTAATTATCTCACGTCATTGACCAGACTGGCGAAAAAGAAAACACGTAACTTTGTAATTGCACTGAAGCCAAGTGTCAGCTAAATCGTCACCCCTGCACAGCGCAATTTCGCGCAAAACGAGGACGCTCAAATTGCGGAGTCTTTTACAGAGCACCTCTTTCTTGCGCAAAATTTTCCAAGCGCGCACGCAGATCCTAATTGTAACTATACGTACGAGCAGCTCGGATTTTACGTTTTCGTGGCATAACAATTGCATGCGTAATTTGCATTAATTCGAGCTTTGCGTCTGCCGGAGATAAGCCATCGCAACGAGAGCTTCAAGCGGCAGACGTGAGGTTCGAGTGGAAAGAAAGACGTGTGCTGTAAGGCAAATCCTTGCGCGGCACGTACACGTAGTTCGGGTCAGTGCAATGAAACTTTGAAATTGATTATATGATTTACGTAAACGAAATTATTACATTTCAGCGATACAAATGAACCAACCACTTGTTTGGCTGAACGCTACAAAAAGTGCGATTCTTAAAGAAATGTTTCCAGATGAAAACAATTTATATCACGTTTGTTTTTCGAACGGAGTAAATTGAGTTTGCTTGAATTAAGAGAAATTTGCCTTGTTCATGAACCTTTATTTCAATTACAATGCTTAAGTCGTTTTTTCGCTACGAAGCATTGCTTATCAATTGCAATTTTGAAGAAAGTACTTTTCGAAAGGCTCATACGACATTTTCGAATGTGATTATTCAATCAAAAGTGAAAATAAAACTCGCTAATGTGCGAGCTCGTTATTCCTAAAACGAGTTTGTTGACAATCGTTCGATAAAAGTAACATCCGTCCTCCGAAAAGTATAAGTAAAATACACGTCCATCGTATGGTTGGCCAAAAACGAAATTATAAAGAGAGGAAACGGGGAATCGTCATATCTCGATGCCGACCCAGTTGCCTTAGCACGCATCTGTGGAGTCACGCTCGCGTCGGCGTGCTACAATTACAAATAGTGTAATTTGGCCGCGCGACCTTATCTCGGAGCACGCATCGAGAATGAAAATGTGCGAAAAAAGAGAGAAAATAGAAGAGGAGGACAAGTCGCGCAATTTCCTTCTTCCATTGTTGTAGTGTCCGCGATTGAGTCATTGAGGCTTTGTCTTTCCTGTGTATACCATGCAAATACTTCGAGAATACCGACCTTTGTCGTTGGCTTATACCGCG